TTGTTCGTTTATTAATTTTTTAAGGTGTTCGTATTTATTCATTTAGCAGTCATAAACATGTTCATTTAATGTTCACAAGTATGTTTGTTTAATGTTCGACAACCAACACTCTCATTCTATCCTTTTATTTGCAAACTAAAGAAAAATAACGAAGTTAGGCTACTAGTTATTAAGTTCTTTAGGCTTTAAAATTTGAACTTCAAAGTTTACCTTATGCTCAATTTAATATATATCTTCACCACTTTTTAAAATGCCAAAAAAATAAAATAAAAAGGAGAACCAATTAAACGAGTCAATAAACAAGTCGATAAACAAATTTATAAATGAGCCAATAAACGAGTTTGTCCGTAAACATAAATGAATATAACACACATATGTTCGTTTTCATTCGTTTGTTTATTTAATGAACATATAATTTTTGTTCATACTCGTTTACTTAGTATAATAAATGAATATAAACGAACATTACGAGAAAGATTCACAAATAGTTTATAACGCCTCAAATCATGAGTTAGTAGTTTTGGGCTAACCCGATAGGGTTTTGGATAAATGGAATAGCCATGTGGGAAGCTTTATCCCAAGTTTGGTTTGGATTGGGCTTGGTTTAAGCCCAATTAGAGATAAAATGGTATTTTTTATTTGGGGTATCGATATTGCATGTAAGGTATCGATACTACTCATTTTGAATGGTTAAATTTGACTTTGTTAAGGCTCGTAAGAGTTCAGGATGACCCGTAATGGTGGTACTTAGTCCGTAAGAGACTTAATTGGCAAAATGTACCTAGAAACAATATTAGTAGTGGGTTACAACAGAAACAACTATATTAAACGTAATACTTCCAAGTAACTTCAATCGAACACATATCAGGTAATTACGAATAAAGGATCATTGTGTAAGATGTCTCAGCGAGTGAGACGAAGAATGGCTTGAGGTTAAAGAAAGAGGGAATCGAGTACCATATGGACACCTACAATCAAATATGAGCAAGTTACCCTACTGGTTCAAGGGTGATTCAATGGGAAATGTGGTGAGAATGATTAGGGAGTTATTATCAATGAACCAACCCTGAATTGAGTGTTAGACTAGTAGTAATATACCAAGTGGGTAAAGATTACTAATTGCCTTAAGGATATAAAAAACTAAAAGACTAAGAATTCCTTACGTAATATATTATATGAGAGAACGAGTGAGATAGTGTCGAGTAAGGGGATGATCTCACTTGATTATGATAAGTTCAATAGCGAGTAACCGAGCTACTTTGATTTCCCTCGTGTGACATTAGTTGACGTGTGTGTTGAGACATTTAACACTTTAGAAAAACTTGATAATAAAGGCGAGATAACAATGTGTTAACAATATTATATGTGTGATAATCATAAGAACCTTATGAGGTAAGATTCCATAAGACTTATGCATTTGTTTACCGCTCGGGAGACGATGAGGACACTCGAGTTAGTTATTTGTGTGTGTGATGATCGTCTAGTTATTTGTGTGTGTGACGATCGTCTAGTTATTTGAGAAATATCCAGATATATCCAAGTTAGTGTGAAGGTACTTTAGATGCTAGTTGAATGTTGTGTTGATGTTATGTGACCCAAACACGTTCTGAGTACTCTAGAAGAGTAGACTATCGTAGCAAGGTGTTGATGTTATGTGACCTAGACCTAGCATATGATACTGTGAGGTGCCGATGATATGTGACCCGGACCTCACCTAGGGTACTTGTGAGATGTTGATGGTATATGACCTAGATCTTACCTAAAGTACCTCTAGTAAGCAAATAGGGGTGTGAGTTTTGTGATGCTAAAGTGACACCGAACTACACCATGATGCTTACTTATTGTGTGATTGTACCTAACATCGGTTACTATCTTTGTGTGTTGCATGATGATGCATTGTAAGAAGATACTGAGGTTAGAGACCTAGTATACGTTAACTCATGGCGAGGCCCTTAGTAGAGACTAAAGAAAAAGTGAGACTTAAACTAAAGAGGCAAAATTGTTGAACTTTAAGTAGGTAGAACTTGATTATGATCATGTATGTACCTACTGCTTATTACCATATATTCTAGCATGCTTACGTTTATAAGATCCGTATGTTACTTTAGATTAGCAATTATACTACCAGGCTTTGTAAGCTCGGCGTTCGGATGTTTTCATTCGTAGGTTATTATATTGAGTCATTCAAGGAGTACCGTCGTATTAGGGTTTCCAGTATTCCTTATAGAGTATTATATGATTACTTGTAGTAGACATGTGTATTCATAGGACCCTTACTTATGTATTTGGATTTGTAAACTTTGAGTCGTATTATTTGATTTAAACTACGTGTCACAAAGCTCCATTTTGTAGAAGTATTTTATGACTATTGTTGATGTCTTTTCATAAATATATGATGTTTTAAATGAAAAAAAATGGTTAGCAACTTTGCAGGTTGCGTGTAATATTCTAATCCTCTGGATCTTGGGTTAGATTGATCGAATTAGGGTGTTACAATATCATAAGTAGGTTAGAGGAGTGTGCGTCCTGAGATGCAAAGTCCTCCGATCACACCATGATGCCTACCTCAGCTTTGCATGTTAGTGTTCTTGTATGTTTATGCCTATACCTGCTAGCATGCTCATATAGTAGATGCATGTAGTATAGTATAGTTATTAATGTAGCACTGAGTTTGTGAGCTCAATGTTCAGAATTTACTTTCGCAAACAATTTCTTAGGAGATCTCTCGATGAGCTTATCATCGATCAGTGATTCCACATTGTCGAAGCATCAGAGTACATTTTGAGTCTTGTAGAGAAAATGTATCATTCATAGATCTCTTTGTACTAAGTTGTAATTCTATTTTGAATTATTTAATATATATTATGTTGGGATGTATTTTGAGAGCTTCCCACTTTTACAATTTAACTATTTATGATTTTTTATGTGATTTCATGGATGCTATTTCAAATGCATTTTTCGAGATCGTTCTTATAGAAAAATATTAGGTTAATCACTTCGGTGATCCAGTGTAAGAATCTAGTCTGTTAACTTTTGGATCAGATTGAACTAGGGTGTTACATAGTTTGTGTTATGTTTATTTACACTTTTACTTGTAAAGTTTACATAACCAGTATAAAAAGCAGTTAAACTGATTCTTTCCAAGAATAACATTAAAACAATGCATAGTTAAGACAAGTTATTACATTATCATGTAAAAAAGATACTTAATTGTGAACCCTTCTAAGTTATCATAATTTGATATTTAAAAGTTTAAAAATAGAAAAATTATTATCATTTATATTAATAATTTCTTTAAAATTTTAGAATTATATATAGAATTGTCCTATTATTTATTCATTTATTATCATAGTGTCCAAAACTTTCTTACAATATTTAAAAATAATCAAAGTTTATATAATTAATGACATAATTGTATTTTTAATTCAACCTAATATATTTTAGTTAAACTAATTATCTTTATTCTTACAATAAATTTGAACTTTATTGTAATTCACATATAATGATTGTTTTATAACACATGTGATTTTTCTAGAATAATTATTTTAGTGAAAGAAAAAGGATACAAAATATGAAATATGATAAATACATTAAATATCTTTAGGGTTAAAAAGATGTTATTCACCATAAAAATCCGAGTTTGAATTATTGTGTTTATAGGATGTGTGTACATTATTAATGATTAAAGTTCTGAACGAATACCACATTAAAATCGTCTAGACTTCAAAAAAAAATGTATTAAATATGATATTTTTTATGAATAAATTTAAAGTTCATGTCTCGTAAAAAATTACTAGAAAAAATATGAAAGATAATAAATGTTACAATAGTCTGGTAGCTAAAACAAAACCTTGGGTATTTATATAGTTGAAATATCACATGGAAAAGAACATTATTTTATGGAAATTTATACTGTTTTTTGTGATGTTGGTTTTGCCTTTAATTGTCGATAATTAATATACATATATATATATGGTATAAGAAAGAGACATGACTGAATTTTGTTTGAAAATTATGAGATTTGCACCATAGAGTATGGTAGGCAAGCATATGTAATGAATGCATATGCATGCATGTATCCACATTATTTTACGTATATAATGCTTCTGAAATCTGCAATTGCAGAACAGCCTGTATATACTGTGTGTATATATATATATATGCATGGTTATAAGAAAAAACCTATGGATATTGAATCTGGGGCGAAAACCTAGTTTAAAGCTTTCGAACAGGTTTCAAATAACGGTCGAATAACAGTATCGTGGTTGTTATATCGCGATCGCAATGATGTCCGAAACCACTATCACGGAAAATAACGTTGGAAGCGGAATCACACCAATAGCGGTGGATTGCGGCCAATCGCGACAATAGCAAACATCTATTCCGTTATTTTAACTTTTTTTAAAAAAATAGGTTTTTTTATTAAAAAAATCAACTCCTTCGAAAAAATATTCATGATCGCGATATCCATAATGACCGCAATAGCATCCATTATATCTGCAACCGTGATAAACACGACGCAATAAAAAACGTGACCGCAAACACTAATTAAAACCCCGATTTGGAAAGTAAATTTAAACGAAGGAAGGGAAGATGCTTTTTTCTATATGACTAGCAATTAAAGCTCTCACCCACCATTAATGCTCTGCAATTAACTCCTCATCCTCTCCACCTGTTTCTTCAATTCTCTTCATTTTTCTTCTCTACCAATCTCCTCTCTCTTGGTGGTAGGTTTCTGCCAAAAACCACCGTGGCCGTGGGATTTTTCCAGTGAACCCTAAACTCTTAAAGACCCTCGATCCTTTTTCATTAATCTTTCTCAACAAATGCTCAAAAAGGGTTTCCGTTTCGTATTTCCTCTGTGACAAAGTCTTTACTCTCGAAACCAGTTTTCTTTCCCCTGGACCAGCTTGTTAATTAATGGCAGCGTATCTTTTTTGACAACATTTTTCTCCATTCTCTCTCTCATATATTTTGTTATATAATATTCTGCTATGTTAAAGAGAGCGTACGAAATAAGTGTTTAGACATTTTATATCAACCGTAGTAAGGAATCCGAAGCCTAGAATCTAACAAGCAGGAAGGGAGACAGATATCTGTAACTTGTACGGCTGCTGCTGGTTAGGGTTTTAAAAGTCATTGGTTGTCTATGTTTCCCAACATGATGTTTCCAATGACCGACTCGCCATTGCATTTAAGAAGAGAAGATTGTTGCTCTTTGCTCTCAGTCGTCTTCTCCAATAATCTTTAAGGTAATTTTTTTGCTGCTAGTTTCTTTCACTTCTTCCATGGGGATAGAATAGCTTGGTTTAACCGTTTAAGAAATAAATGGTTGTTTTTAGGGTTTGACTATTACTCTATTAGGATATTTGAAGAAAAATCCTTCTCGATAAGCGAACTTGTGCATGGATTACAGCTCCATGGTTTACTTGCTTTTTTTTTTATAGTTTGTACCTTCCATTATTAAGCACCGGTTTTGACTTTGTTTATCTTCCTTCTAGACCTTTTTTGTGATTTGCTTTTTGTTGTTTTTTTTCCTTCTTCCTTTATTACTCCTTTTCGCTGTTCTAATGTTTCTTTCTCCCATTATTTTACATATGTTGTCTTGGCAGAATCCAGAAACTCCATAGGCGTCGATATTTGAGCATTTCGTTAGCATGTTTAGCCCCAACTTATTCGACAGTTCCCATATGTTCGACATGGCTCATAAGACATCCGAGAGTGAACTAATGGGGAATATCAGAGATGATGATTATGAGATCAAATCTGGTACTGAAATTATGGACGCTCCCTCGGGGGATGATCAAGATCCTAACCAACGCCCCAAAAAGAAGCGTTATCATCGTCATACACAGCATCAAATCGAGCAGATGGAAGCGTAAGTCTTCTTTTTTCTGCCATTATTTTGTTCATCTTTAGAGAATGAATTCTTTTGTATTTTTGAAACTTTTTTGCTTAGATTCTTTAAGGAGTGCCCTCACCCCGATGATAAGAAAAGGAAGGAGCTTAGCCGCGAGCTAGGGTTAGAGCCTCTACAAGTCAAGTTTTGGTTCCAAAACAAGCGCACCCAGATGAAGGTAAATATCAATGACTATATAGTAAGATTTCTTATCCTAGCTTAACTGCTAAAATTTCATCTTCATTAACAGGCCCAGCATGAACGCCATGAAAATGCTATATTGAAGGATGAGAATGAAAAGCTCCGTGCTGAGAACAATAGGTACAAGGAAGCTCTCAGCAATGCTACATGCCCCAGCTGTGGAGGCCCAGCTGCTCTTGGGGAGATGTCGTTTGATGAGCAGCATTTGAGAATAGAAAATGCTCGGTTAAAGGAAGAGGTAAATAAAAAATCCTACACACTGACACTCTTCTCTTCTTCTTCTTCTTCTTTTTTGTATTTGCTTATTCGGTTTCTTTGTTCTTCTATTACAGATTGATAGGATATCTGGAATAGCTGCTAAATATGTTGGCAAGCCTTTATCTTCCTTTCCCAACCTTTCTTCTCACTTAAATTCACGCTCTGTTGATCTTGGAGCTAGCAATTTCGGGACACAGTCAAAATTCGTAGGGGAAATGAACCGCAGTGGTGATCTTCTAAGGTCTGTCTCTAGACCTACAGAAGCGGATAAACCTATGATTGTTGAGCTTGCTGTTGCTGCTATGGAGGAACTAATCCGATTGGCTCAATCTGGTGAACCACTGTGGGTTCCTGGGGATAATTCTTCAGATATGTTGAACGAAGATGAATACGTAAGAACTTTCCCTAGGGGAGTTGGATCAAAACCTTTGGGGTTGAGGTCTGAAGCTTCAAGGGAATCTGCTGTCGTGATTATGAATCATGTCAATCTAGTTGAGATTCTCATAGACGCGGTACGATTTCATTTTCCTCTCCAAATTTGGGTCCATTATACAAACTTAGATGATCCATCCTTCTTACTAAAATCATTGATTTTTCAGAACCAATGGTCAAGTGTGTTCTGCGGTATTGTTTCAAGGGCTATGACTCTTGAAGTACTATCAACTGGTGTTGCAGGAAACTATAATGGAGCTTTGCAAGTGGTAATGTGCACTTCGATTCTTTCTTTTTTTTTTCTTTCGATTCGCCCCTTTAAGATTAATATCTTTCATTTTCAGATGACTGCCGAGTTTCAAGTTCCTTCACCACTTGTACCAACTCGGGAGAATTACTTCGTGAGGTATTGTAAGCAGCATATTGACGGAACTTGGGCAGTAGTTGATGTTTCCTTGGATAATTTACGCCCCAATCCTGTGTCCAAGTGTAGAAGAAGACCATCAGGTTGTTTGATCCAAGAATTGCCAAATGGATACTCTAAGGTATGTATATGTATATGTATATGTATATGTATATGTATATGTATATGTATATGTATATGTATATGTATATGTATATGTATATGTATATGTATATGTATATGTATATGTATATGTATATGTATATGTATATGTATATGTATATGTATATGTATATGTATATGTATATGTATATGTATATGTATATGTATATGTATATGTATATGTATATGTATATGTATATGTATATGTATATGTATATGTATATGTATATGTATGTATTGTATATATATGTATATGTATATGTATATGTATATGTATATGTATATGTATATGTATATGTATATGTATATGTATATGTATATGTATATGTATATGTATATGTATATGTATATGTATATGTATATGTATATGTATATGTATATGTATGTATATGTATATGTATGTATATGTATGTATATGTATATGTATATGTATATGTATATGTATATGTATATGTATATGTATATGTATATGTATATGTATATGTATATGTATATGTATATGTATATGTATATGTATATGTATATGTATATGTATATGTATATATATGTATATGTATATGTATATGTATATGTATATGTATATGTATATGTATATGTATATGTATATGTATATGTATATGTATATGTATATGTATATGTATATGTATATGTATATGTATATGTATATGTATATGTATATGTATATGTATATGTATATGTATATGTATATGTATATGTATATGTATATGTATATGTATATGTATATGTATATTTATATGTATATTATGACTTATTTCCCTGATACTTCAGGTTATATGGGTTGAGCATGTAGAAGTGGATGATAGAGCTGTCCACAACATATACAGACCAGTAGTTAACTCCAGTCTAGCTTTCGGAGCAAAACGTTGGCTGGCGACATTAGATCGGCAGTGCGAACGTCTTGCGAGTTCAATGGCGAGTAACATTCCAGAAGGGGATCTATGCGGTACAACAACATTTACCATCTTGTTTTTCTTAGAGATACCTTGTCGAATGCAGTGCACTTCGTGTGTCTCTGACGTTAACATTTGGGTTACTTATTGATCTCTGCATAACAAGTTCAGAAGGGAGGAAGAGTATGTTGAAGTTGGCAGAGAGGATGGTGACCAGCTTTTGCACCGGCGTCGGTGCTTCTACGGCCCATGCTTGGACGACTCTAGCAGCAACAGGTTCCGACGATGTACGAGTTATGACCCGAAAGAGTATGGATGATCCAGGCAGGCCTCCTGGTATTGTGCTTAGTGCTGCAACTTCCTTCTGGATCCCAGTCCCACCGAAAAGGGTATTCGATTTCCTAAGGGACGAGAACTCTCGAAGCGAGGTACATTAATCTTCCAATGTAAGAATTCAAACACAAATTTTCAGAATATTATACTAATTTGCAGCTTGAACCTGAATTTCTAGTGGGATATCCTATCAAATGGTGGCCTAGTTCAAGAAATGGCTCACATAGCCAATGGCCGTGATCCAGGCAATTGTGTCTCTTTACTGCGAGTAAATGTAAGTTGGCAATGGCAAGTTAACATTTCCATGATAGTCATCCATTAAGCTAACATTTTCCAATTGTAAATCCAATCCACAGAGTGCAAACTCTAGCCAAAGCAACATGTTGATACTTCAAGAGAGCTGCACTGATGCCACAGGGTCCTATGTGATATATGCCCCGGTCGATATCATCGCGATGGACGTCGTCTTAAGTGGTGGTGACCCGGACTACGTCGCGCTGTTGCCGTCCGGTTTCGCAATTCTTCCCGACGGTCCAGGACACGATGGAGGAGGAATTCTCGAAATCGGTTCGGGTGGCTCTCTCCTCACCGTTGCCTTCCAGATTTTAGTTGATTCAGTTCCAACTGCAAAGCTCTCTCTGGGATCGGTGGCTACCGTCAATAGCCTAATTAAATGCACAGTTGAAAGGATCAAAACTGCCGTAATGTGCAATAGTGCTTAATAAACAAAGCATAGATCGAACATAACTTGATCAGTTCTACTATTAGATATGGTAGGAGAACTCACCATTTTGAGAACACTATTAAAATTTGTCTAATTTATTTCCGTTTCATGTGCTATGGTCGAAGCATTAATTTGGACTCCTGTTTTTCTCCTCCATCATCAAACATTTTGTTGGATTCTGCTCTAATTTGTAATTTTGGTACTTTTTGAATTTAATGAATAGTTTAGTTATTGCCTTTGTTTTATGCATTTTATTAATTCGTACAATGATGGTTTGAAAAAGTAGGGGGAAAAAATGAAGGATTGCTTCATTGATTGTATCCACATGCATGTTTTCTTCTTTTTGTTAAAAGAAAAACTTGTATCCACGTGATATCAAGGACCAAAAGTTGTTGGAATTAATTAATAGATAGATATCCATCCACCTGATATTAATTAATTAATAGAACCACTATTCTGACAAGTATAAACCAATTTTATCGTAGCAGTACCATTTGGTTGTGTTCATGGTGGTGCTGAATTCCCAGCCTTCTATTGCTTCTGTACTTTTACAGGGTCATAAAGTTGTTTGAATCCAACAATCTATTGGTTCAGTGACGAGAAATGATATAAATTTCAAGTTTTCAAACCATCATTTACATTTATATAAGCATATGCAAAAAAAAAATGTTGTAAAGTAATGTATTTAAGTTCAAATTTTGTACTAAAAAAAGAGAAGGTGCCATTGCTGGTGTCAAGTGCAATAAAAGCTCAGTTAATATGGTGACGTACGGTTTAGGGTTTGGGTGTAGGGTTTAGGGTCGTCCATCTCATCAGTCGCCTTCCTACCAGTGTCTTACAGGGATGCTCACCCTTTGAAAGATTGTTTTGCAAGCAGCCAACCTATGATCACTTGCGCGTGTTTGGTTGCTTATGTTTTCCCCACACACGCCCTTTTCAGTCTCATAAACTAGCTTTTCGTTCCATGTGTTTTCCTTGGCTACAATCTTCAACATCGGAGTTACGTGTTTGGCTTCAGATGGGAAAATGTATATTTCATGCAATGTTATGTTTGATGAATGTGTTTTTTCATATGCCAACAAAAAGAAGCTAGATTATGTTGTTGTTCATTCTCCACCACATCTCAGCTCATCACTCCCAGTGGTTCCTGGTGGATTGCAAGTTCTAGAAGGTTGCTCATGAGCTCCAGATTCTTATGGTTCATCACGGCTACCCAGTTTACCTTCTAGTTCTCATAGGTTTGGGTTTTTGCCAATTTATAATGACAATGGTAGTGTGCAACACAACCCCTCCACCAGTGGTGTTATTGATTCGAGCTCAGCAGGCCCTGTATGTAATTCTCCCATACATGAAGAACACCACAACTCCTTGTCTTCCTCAGAAGCTCATGAGGATCATATAGTGCATGGTGTTATGACTCAACCTACAAATGTACCTGTAAATCATGACCCCATGATGACTAGGGAAAAGATGGGTGTCTTCAAACCTAAAACATTCTCTGTTGATTCTTCATCCTTCGTTGATGAAGTTGAACCTACAATAAACTCTCAAGCTCTTTAAGATCCTCAGTGGAGGCAAGTAGTGTTTGATGAGTATAACGCTTTAATAAAAAATGGCACTTCACAGGTAGAACATCTTCTACCTACCCGTGTGGCCGTCGGATGTAAATGGTTAAACTCAAACATTATGCGGACGGGTCTGTTGCAAGACATAAAGCACATTTGGTGGCGAAAAGATTCTCCCAAGTCCCAGGTCATGACTTTGGAGACACATGCAGTCCAATGGTTCGGTCATCTACTGTCAATATTATTTTATCCATTATTCTTTTGAATGGATGGGTTTTGCATCAGATCGATGTAAATAACACATTCCTACATGGTGATCTTACTGAAGAAGTCTTTATGGTGCAGCCTCCAGACTTTGAGCAGCAATCTGTTGATGGCACTCCTCTGGTCCGCAGACTTCAGAAAGTCTTATATGGCCTCAAACAAGCCTTGCAAATGTGGTATGCGAAGCTTAAACAATTCATTACTCAACTAGGGTTCGTGGAATCAACAGCAGATCCTTCTCTATTTTTGTTCGACGATTAGGTAGCATTCGTGTGTTTATGTTAATCTATGCTGATGATATAATGCTCACCGCCAATTCCAAGGATGCAATCGAAGAGGTTATTTAACATCTTGTTGTATTTGGGAGTTAATTTTTTTCCTTAGTATCGAGGTTACAAGAAGCAATTAAACATCGCTTTGTGCTACAACAGAGAAAGTTCAAAAGGGTTTTGCTTGAAAAATCGAAAATGAGTAGAGCAAAACTAGCCCCAACTCCAATGGCTTTGTCTCCTAAGCTCACTGGAAGTGATGGTCAATCTCTCGCTAATGCTCAACACTTTCAAAGTATAGTTGGCGCTCTACTTTACCTTACTCACACTCGTTCTGATATAACATTTAGCGTTCATAGGATTGCTCAACATATGTATAATCCTTGTGAAGGGCACTGGCTGGCAGTCAAGAGAATCCTACGTTATCTCAATGGCACATTGCAACATGGCCTTGCGTTTCAAGTTGATAGTTCCACGAGCAAAGTAACAACATTTGTAGATGCTGACTGGGCGAGCAGTGCTGATGACCGACGATCTATTTTAGGTAACTGTGTGTTCTTGGGTGATAACTTGGTTTCTTAAAGCTCCAAGAAACAAAATACAGTTGCTCGATCAATCATTGAAGCAAAATTTCGAAGCGTTGCTGATGTCGCTTCTGAAGTAGTATGGATCAAGATTCTGCTTGCTGATCTGGTGAAAAAGTAGAAGTTCCAACAATCTAGTGTGATAACACCAGTGCAGTGACAATGAGTGCAAACCTTGTTTTTCATTCTTGATCAAAACATGTGGAATTAGATATGTGCTTTATTCGTGGGAAAGTGGTAGGAAAAGAACTCTGTGTCAACTACGTTCCTACTGCTCACCAAGTTACAGATAGTTTAACCAAACCATTAACCAAGTCCTTGTTTATGTTGTTTTGATATGAAGAACTCAAAGAGTAGGTAGAATGTTGAGAACATTGGCGGAGCCAGTAAAGGATAAGGGGTGTTAAATGACACCCCCAAAAACTTCTAAAAAATAAATTTTAAATTACATAATACAAAAATAAATAAATGACACAACTTTTAGAAATACTTTAATCCCTTAAAAAAGAAATGGTATAATATCAAAATTAATACCCAACATTTATTCAAACAATCATTTTAGCCCCTATTCGTTTTCAGAGTAATTTGGCCCACAATGTTTTATTTTAGGGTAAAAAAGATCCCTCAATATATGAAAGTAATTAGTTATCAAACGGTTAACACTCCAAAAGAGGGATATTTTATATTCAAAAATGAAACATTAAGGGTCAAAATGCTTTAGAAAAAAGAATTAAAATTAAAATAACTATCCAGTTAAACATTGAGAATTTTTACCTTAAAATGAAACGCTTGGAGTCAAAATGCTAAAAGAAAAGAATAGATGACAAAATGGTCATTTTAGTAAACGAAGGGATCGATTTTAGTATTATACCAAATGTGACCCTAACTATTTTTAAAAAAAGAGTATATATATAATTTTATTTAAATATTATAATTTAAAATTATGACACCGCAATTTAAAGTTTCTAGTTTCGCCATGGTTGAGAATATACGTGAGCTATATTCAGGGGCAAAATCAACGAGATAATGTGTTGAAAAAATTTTCACGAGATAATGAGTTCCAACAATTAATTGCTGAGATAGGGTGAAATCTCGAACATATGTCGCCAGGCGCTCCTGGCGACCAAGGAGGTCGCCATCTCGTCCCTGCGAGCTGTGGTGAGCTGCTGCACTTTGCATGCTTGAAGATCATCATGCACGCCCAGCTGAAATGGAGGTCGCCATGTTTCAGATAAAAGCCTAATTACCGAAATAGGAAATCATTGTTACTTAGGGAAATTTAGGTAATTGCCATGCGTGAAGGTCGCTATGTCGGTCGACCTTATAGGTCGTCATGTGATCCCGGCGACCAAACTGGCGTGATTGTTAGTTTAGGGTTTAGGGTAAAAGCCTAATTACCGATATAAGTAATGTAGCAGCAAACCACAGTTCGCAGAGACGGCATGGCGACCTCCTTGGTCGCCCGGAGCTCCTGGCGACATACGTTCGAACTGTAGATTTCACCCTATCTTAGCAATTAATTGTTGGAACGCATTATCTCGTGAATTTTTTTTTCCAACAACATTATCTCGTTGATTTTGCCTATATTCAGGTGATGATAGGTTTATTAGATTGTTAGCTGAGCTGTCATTTTGTTATATTGTAGGTTTGTATAGGTGTCCTCTCTATATGGACTTGTGTCCTTCCCTCTTTGACTTACAAATAGGGTTAGTGTGTGATCAATGAAATATGAGGTTTCATTCTTTATTTCCATCTTCTCTTATAGTTTATAACAATGACGGCCGTGGAGTCGATAATATACAAACGAGAAGTATCCCACCCATGATCACTTCTAAAAATTATCAATATTTAATTCCAAAACAAATCTTCTTTCCAAAATTTACACAAATCGCATTTCAGCCTGAACATTGAATATGATGAAATAACAGAAATGGTCTACTAAAAGATAATATTGGCAAAAGGGAAATAAATATGGCAATGCAATTTAGATGTAACAATAAAAATACCTACCCCATCATATCCTACAAGATCTTCAGGGGGAACCACACTAGATTCTGACCTGCATTTAGCATGCACTATGGGACCTAACTGTGATCTATCAATGCCTTCCACTGGTCCATTGGGTGCATTCATGTAGACAGCCCCTCTATACATCCACTCCTCTGTTTCATCACTATAAAAATCATCAAAAAGCTCACCACATAATGCACATATGCTCTGATATTCATCGGTGGGAACTGCCAATTCTTCATCAGCCTTCTTTTGTACAATGTCCTCGGTAGGGAAAACCCCAGGAACTGAATTAGTTCCCAATGCTTCCGCACCACTAAGCCACATACTACCACTCACAAACCACTTCTGAGAAGGTTTCTGCTTATGGTTCTTAGACATTCGATTTCTTGCCACATGCCAATCCATATGAGTACTATGCTCCTCTTGGAACTTGAACGGAAGG